GCCATCGAGTCAGCCCTGACTCATAGCGACCCCTCCTTGGGTTTCCGAGGCAGTATCACTACGGAAGTAGGATTGCCCAACCTTCCTTCCGAGGAGTGGCTGATGGGTTTGAACCGCCAGCCTTCTGGTTAGCAGTCAAGTGCTTTAACCACTATGCTACCAGAGCTCCTATACTGCCTCGGAAACCCAAGGAGGGGTTGCTATGAATCGAGTCTGACTCACGGCAGTGAGTTGTTGTTGTTGTTGAGACCTTGTTGAAGAGCAAAATAAAGAGCTGAAAAATAAGTTAGAAGAAGGTATTTGTAATGACACATGAGGAAGCAAAAGACTGGGAAATACTTTATCAAAAGAGATGATCAGAGACGTACACACAGTCTAGCATACGTTTAACTGGACTTTGAGAAAGAGAGCAGAGAGAATGGAGCAAAAGCAGGAGCTCTGGTAGCATAGAGCCTAAGGCTCTTGACTGCTAACCAGAAGGCTGGTGGTTCAAACCCACCAGCCACTCCTCAGAAGGAAGGTTGGGCAATCTACTTCCATAGTGATACCGCCTCGGAAACCCAAGGAGGGGTCTCTATGAGTCGGGTCTGACCCAACGGCACATAACAACAACAACAACAGTAAAGAGATAATGACTGAGGATTTTCCAAAACTGATGTAAGATGCTGTTGAGCCACAGATTGAAAATAAAATGAAATAGACTTGGCAATGAAGAGAGGATGAGAGAGGTTTTTAAAAAAAAAAAAAAAAAAGTCAAAGAAGATTCCAAGATTTCTAGCTTAAACTAAAGGGTGATGTGATCTGAGATAAGAAATAAAAGAAAAAAGAATACATTTGAGGTTGGGAAGAGGAAGTATGAAATAGAAATTGTAGGTTCTGATTTTTACCTATTGAATTTACTATCCATCCAGGCAAAAGTAAGTGATGAGTCATTATTTCTTAAATAATTACTCTTTTTCTTGTCATATTTAGGAGTCTCCGAAATGTTTCATCCTTTGGAAGAGACTAATGATATGGACTGAATTGTTGTGTGCTATTGAGTCAATTCCAACTCACAGTGACCCTGTGTGACAGAGTAGAACTGTCAATAGGGTTTCCTAGGTTGCAATCTTTATAGAAGCAAGTTGATGGGACTTTTCTCCCATGGAGCCACCGAGCAGGTTCGAACAGCCAACCTTTCAATAAGTAGCCAAGGGCTTACCTGTTGTGCTATCAGGGCTCTTTCTGGATTGAATGGTGTCCCAAAAGGAATCCTAACCCCTAGGGAATGTCCTTGTTTGAATATAAGGTCTTTCTTTGATTGTATGGTCAGTTTAGTTAGCAAGGTAATACTGGGTCCTAAACCCTTCTGAGGAGCTCTGGTAGCCCAGTCCCTAAGGCGTTTGACTGCTAACCAGAAGGCTGGAGGTTCAAACCCACCAGTCACTCCTTTAAAGGAAGGTTGGGCAATCTACTTCTGTAGAGATACTGCCTCAGGAACCCAAGGAGGGGTCGCTATGAGTTGGGGATGACTCAACAGCACATAACAACAACAACAAACCCTTCTGAGCAATGTCACACAAAGGGAAAATAGACATGAAGATAGGGTCACATAGAAGGAGATACTATATAAAGATGCATCTAAAAGCCAAGGAATGCCAAGAAATGCCTGACGATCAAGAAGCTGGAAGACATGAAAACGGATCTTCCCCTAGAGCAGACAGAGAGGGTGTGGCCTGTTGACACCTTAAATTCAGACCTCTAGCCTCCAGGACTGTGAGAGTATCGATTTCTGCTTTTTAAAGCCACCCACATTTTGATCTTTTGTTATGGCAGCCTTAGGAAGCTGGTCTCAATAATCCAGCACACTCAGGTCTCCTTCCCTTCCTGCTGGAATTCATGACTTCCCTTAAGGGTTGTTCTACAAACAGACACTTGCCCAAAATGTCCACACACTTTCAAATTGCATCTGTTTGGTGTTCAAATATGATGACCTATACAACCAACTTTCACAGAGCAAAGCACATCACAACATAATAATAAGTTTCCTAATTTTCGATGCCATAATCCAGGGCTCTGGTTTTTTTTGTTTTGTTTTGTTTTTATTATAAGGGCAAATTATGGATCCCCTAAGTACTTTGATTTATCAAAATGTGGAATTTTATATATGGAACCAACTTCAAATAATGGAATAAATACAACTTTGTGTCACAATCTACAATATTACCTGAAGGATTATTGTGAGATTTTTAATAATTATTTGACTTTATTAACACAAGAAAAAAACACCTGTGTTTTGGTTACCTCTAGTGCCGCTCTGACAGGAATATACCACAAATGGAATGGCTTGCACAAACAGGAGTTTATTCTCTTACAGTTTGGAGGCTTTGAATCAAGTTCAAAGTGCCAGGCTCTAGGGCCTGGGTGAAAGCCCCTCAGCCTTGGGCTTCAGCTCTACCTCCTGCTCCCGGCCCACTGACGCTGGAGGATTTTCTTCACTCAGCTTCCGGCTGCTGAGGCTGACAAACCCAAGGTCAACAAGTAAAAAGGCACAGTCCCAATGTTACCAGAGAACACAGCAGGCCACTAATTCAGGTGCAGAAGTCCCAAGATCGGCAGGGAATGGCACACTGTTGAACAACGACTTGGCCACATGCAGTGTTCAAGCATGCCAAAAAGCTGGAGACCTTCCTCAAAGTTGCTTCTTCTACACGGGAAGCCGCCCATATCCCTAAGGCAGCTACTCAGCTGCTCCAGTAGATTCCACCACGGAGTTGATTACCAGCCTCACCATGGGAAATAACTACATCCAGCTGCCCAGCCACTCAACCAGACCTAACCAAGTAGACACACAAACTTAACTACCACAACCTACTACCATAGGTGTCTAATTTTCTTTTTACTTGGAAAATAGCACAACTTTCACAATAAACTCTTTTGTGGTTAATGGCTGAAAATGTCACGCATACTTTCTTTTCAACTGAAACGTTTCCAAAGAGATTGAAGGATGAGATGATAATGATTCTAATATTTATTGAGCACTTTCTACATGCCAGAAAATATTCTGAGGGATTTACATGGATTCAGTCATTAAAGAGATTTAAGATGGCTGATAACATAAATTATATACCAATGAATTAAGGAGTATTATTTAATGTAGATCTTTATTTTTTCCAAAATTATTCTTTTTATAAAATACACTATAATTCCTCTGATACCACCAGGGACCAGAAATATACAAGGGGGAAACTGGGGGTGGGGAACACTTTACAATAATAAACTACAAACAATCTATAACATTTTATCTACAATGTTACATTTGTCTTCTGAAAGTAGAAATAAAATTTTCAAAAACAAGGAACAGGAAAATAATTTGATTTTCAAATGACCTTTCACATGCCAACATGAAATTATTAAGTAGATCTAGAAAGTATCCTTGTTATTGTCTTAGGCAATCAAAGGTGGATTTTCCAACATTAAGTAGGAACCAAGTTGCCCTAGATATTTTCATACTAGTAATTCCTTGTATAACTACTGCTATATTATTGTGACTTCCCTGAATATTATTCCCAATAGAATCATTAGGAATATTTTGATCCTAATATTTCATAATCTGAGAAAACTTTCCAATACAATCACCAGCAGAAAAAGCTAAAGACATATGTAGTTGTTTTCAATAGAAGTTTCAATAGAAGACTCTTCAGAAGAATTTTGACTATAACTCATGAACATGCTTCTTAAATTAGTAAATGTTTTAAGGGTTTATAAGTAATTTGAGACATTATTTAACTACATTCTTTATATCATGAAGAGTTTAATTTAATGGCCAACCCCTTGTTAAATTCTTCCCTGCCATCACGACCACTGGATTCCTGGAAAATTGGCTTTCTCAACTTTTTCTTTTTAACATATTTGAATCTTTCATATAGTCTATGACCTTTATTATCTTGAAATGCTATGAATTCACATATTCATTTGACTCTGGATCAAATGAGTTTGAATCCAGCCTCTATACAATGCTTGAATCCCCTCTGCAACATCATCCAAATGGTGTCCCACCCCCCCATCCATGCCAAAATAGGGAATTTCACAGAAGATAAGGTATTCCAATTTCAGACAGTATTCATTACTAGAAAGTTCTTCTCTACACTGAGCTGAAATCTCCCTCCTCAAAACTGCCATCTGTTTGGTATCTCACCCATTCCAGCACTGGCCCTTAAAGCATGTCCGGGGTAAGCTATTCCCTTGTTGCTTCAGTTTCCTTGTTGTAAAATGGGGGTAAGAAAAGTAATTCATGGGGGTGTGGAGCATTAATATAAGAACGTTCACAAAGCACCTAGCACAAAAGAGGGCCTCCATGAGCAGTAGCCTTTATTTGTTGTTGCTGTTGTTGTTGTTGTTATGTGCCGTCGAGTCAAACCCGACTCATAGCGACCCCTCCTTGGGTTTCCGAGGCAGTATCACTATGGAAGTAGGATTGCCCA